ATTTAATTCTTATCGCATACCAAGTATTTCTCATTGTATGTTTATTCTGTTTTTGTAATATTTTAAAAATTGTAATCTTTTATTGATTCTTCTTTTCTTCTATGTTATTTAATTTCCTGTCATGCCTTATTTAATATCTTATTTAATTAAAAAGCTACATGTGTAATTAATTCTTGGTATTATAAGTGCAGAGACTTACTTTGTAATAATCATTTTTCATGGAACTTTAATGTGTTATATGAATTAACGTCATGTTATGAGGGATTGAATAAATGTAATTCGTGCATTGATTGTGAGAATTTATTTTATGTACAATAAAATTTATTTAAAGCATATTTGAATGATAAAGAGAATGTATGTTTACAATGAGTGGCGAAACGTAGTAAGTTTAACTTATAGATTATAAAGAGAGCTACTAGATAGCTACATAAAAATATATTTATGTGATATGCTTTGGCAGCATAATGGAATAGAAGTATTGGGTGGAGTAGAAGCTTAATTTAAGGATTATGGTTCCTTTACAATAAAGAAAATTTTGAATATATGATAAATATATTTTACTTTTTATTTAAGCTAAATATTTCAATTTTCATTAATTTTATTAAACATTATTATATGTATAAAGAAAAAACATAAGGATATATAAGTATTTTGATAATTTTTAAATCAAATTTTGGAATCAATTTTTACATTAATGTCTTTCATCTTCTTTAATTAAAAATAGATAAATGTCAGTGCTTTTTCTTAGTCAATGTTCACTATTATTTAATGATTCCTATATCATATTTACAAGAATGTCGAGACAGCAGTAAGATATGATAAATAGTAAGATGGACTTAGCATATGTATATGTCGTTGTATATATTAAATACATGAGTATACATATTTATAATGGGCTCGAATATTATAGAAATTCTGTGACTAGAATGGCGAATCTCTTTTATTATATAATTACGAGAGCGTTTTGTTTCCCTCTACTTAAATCTAATTTCTTCCCTTCTTTTTATAGCAAGAATATGTTCGGGAATCGTTAAATAAATTTAAACTTACAGTATTTTTTATTTTATACAATTATCCGAAAACTAAATTAGGAATTAAACAGATTATCACTAGCTGATGTTTATTGATCTTCTTTTATCAAATAAAAAATATAGCTATAAATAAATAATTTTTGCAAAAGAAGAAAAGAGGTCAGATACTATTTTGTAAATTTGTAGATAGAAATATATTTACAATTCTTATATTAATGTCTAGTTTTTTAACGATTTTCTTTTATATCTATATATTTTTGCTTGCACTTATGCGATGAACGTTATTTATTCAATGTGAATATATTATTTTACATGCTATTCGTGAAATTTAGATTAAAAGACACTTATATTTATTGTTAATAAGAGTACATTTTGATTTGACTTACAGTTATGGCGTTTCTCAGCGCATCCATTCTTTTCATTTTATCTTAAAATATCATTTTTTATTTTAAAACTATATACACAAATAAAAGGAAATATGCGCGGTATATATGTATGTATGTATAAATATATATATGTATTTTTAAAAATGTTGTAAGTTTACTGTAAGAAAAATACTAGAAATTGATTTTATTTCATTAGTATTTATATTGAATTAGCTAAATCACTCTGAATATCAAACTATGTTTGAGAAATATGAAATTCTTTAAATATCTTTTATTCCAATTAGGTTTTTTTTTAAATTGCATTAGCAGCAATTTTTTTGATCTTGTGATTCCAATAATGGTAACAGGAAATCTTTCTTTGTCAATTGATGAATGTTAGGGTGTTGGGGTTGATCAGTATGCAAGTTTCAAAGAGTAATAGTCCAAGAATACAAGTTACAGAATTCTCTATAGCCAGGACAAAAGTCCTCCCCAAGGAAATGTCGCACTATTGGGTTCTTCTGACTTTGAAATTCGATTTATTTTCTTCGGAGAGCTTAGTACGTGACTGACATGCCGGAAGTTCGCGAAACCTACTCGGTCAGAGTTAGCAGATTACTTTAAACATTTTTTTTTAAATAACTGCAGGGGTGTAATATTTTTCGAGTGAAGTTTGATTTCTGATCTTAATAGTTTTTTATTAGCCTATTTGGTGTACAAGATTTTTTATTGTATTCATAAGTTTTGAATTTTTTCATAAAATACAAAGAATGCTTAAATAGAACATAAAATTTAAAATAACGGAAAACTTAAATTAAATAAAAATGATTACTATAAGCCATGATTACGTATATTTATATATAAGAGTATTTCAAGACTGAAAATTAAAGGATTTTATTGAATTAAGATATTATTTTATAAGATAAAAAAAAATCTTATCCTTCAATTGATTAAATTTTTTTGTTTTTGAACATTTGTATGGTTTAGAGAAGATAAAATAAAACTTTAAGAAAATATTGGGTTGGAGAAAAAGTTCTGCGGAATTCTGTTAGCTCAAAATTATATACAGAATATATTTGTTGCGAAATTTTCGACTATCTGACGTGAAAGCTTAGTTTTTCTTAAAAGTTCATTTTTTAAAAAATGTTCCTATGACTTTTTGTTACCAAGTTACATGTGGATTAAATAAAAGAGCATTCTGATTTTGATTACTCATAACTCGATTAAAAATCGCCGTACCGTAATTAATAAAACAGATTTTTAAAGCTGAAACGTTGCTCTATCAAGTGATGTAATTGCCAATTTTTAAAAAAATAGAATATATGTACATTTGAGCTAAAAATGTGATATTACTATCCTTTTTTCCATTGCGCAGTAATTATAAGAATAGTAATATCACATTTGTAACTCAAATTTCTATATATTTTACATTAAAAAAATTAGCATGATATTTATTCGATACAGCAACATTTCAGCTTTAAGAATCTGTTTTTTTAATTGCAGTACGATGATTTTTAATGGAGGTATAAGCAATCAAAAAATCAGAATGCTCCTTTTTACAATTTATGAATAAGAACAAAAAAAAAAAATATTAAAAAAAACGATTATGTAAGAAAAACTCTTTCACGATATAGATAATCGAAAAATTTCACAAATTTTTTTTGGTACGTGACAGACTCACAAAGTGAGAAGAAAAATTTTCCTTTTTTTTCAGCTCATAGTTTTATATGTATAAAAATTACAAAACTCACATAAATTCAAAAAATATAATAACCATTCGAAAGTAGAGATTTCATGCTTTTAAAACCCTTTTTTTTAAATTTAAATTTTGATCATTTTTAATGAAGATGTATATAATTTTGAGTTAACAAAATACCGCAGAACTTTCCTTTCAACCCAATACGTATTAGATGTTTCTGACACATGCTTTAAAATTCTTATCAAAAGTATAAATAATCTATTTTTATTACATTCGATGTGAAACATAGCTATAAATTGTTCATATCATCATTCTTTTTACTTCTTTTGTGTCAATAGACAAGATAAGATTTGATGTTATGAAAGAGAAATATCGTTTTTATAAATTTAATAGAGATTCTCGTTTTCTTATGAGAGGCTTTATCCTTATTCTAAATATATTTATATTATTTATGTATTTGCAACATTCTTTAAATTTATTAGATATTTAATACAATCTTTTAATTGTCGAGATATTGAATTAATATTAAAAATTAAAAACTTGTGAAAGATAAAATTCAAGATTCTTGAAACAAAAAGTTTTCAAATTTTCTTCAATTGTGAGGGAAATACATTATTTTATATTTGGAACTGTAATTCGTATTTTTATTTTTTTGTTATTATTTCCATTGCAAGTTTAAGGATTCAAGATCAATTTTGATGGGATATTCTGTTTGATACTTGACATTTTTTGTCATGAAAAGGGAAAATTTCTTATTGCTTAATCTAATAATTATACTTAATTCATTAATTTATATTAATCTATTAAGCCAATATCGCTTTGCGTCTTTTATGAACAGTAAGAAAATTCATGTTCGGTGATTACGGAAGCATGAATGAATTAGTGTAATCGCGTGACTGCTTAAAGTATTTGAAACAGAAATTGATATCGGCGACATTAAGATCGATATTCACAATTGATTCTTATATTTAATCCTTTGGTTTACTATATATTTTGTTATGTATAATGCACTGAGTATTTTGTAAAAATATCGTATACAAATTATATGAATATGTAAAATTCATCATTATATCTTATACATTTAAAAAAAAATGAAATCAGATATTAAGGTATATAACAGTAACAAGCAAATATATCTTTAATAATACAAAATTTATAGCTGCATGTAAACTAAAAGAAATAGTCGGGTATGTCATTACAGTGGTATCAGAAAGCTTAAGATGTCAATCACAAAATTGTATTAGCATTTTAAGGCATTACTTAAGACAATCTAAAATAAGAACGAATTGTGATACCGGTCTTACTAAGATTAATTCATTTCTTTCTTTAACATTCGACTAGATCGTCTTGAAGCAAGATGATACTTTCGGAAAATCACTCTAAGGATCATCATTGCAAGAAACTTTTTGAGTTCTTTCACGACAGGAAATACGAAAACTGTTATTTTTAACGATCCTTTTCCTTTATATCGAAGTTGGCAGATGGCTATGCCGTCCCGCAGGATTACAACATTCGAGCTTGAGGATTGGACCGAACTTTTCCTAAAGGTACAATAATATCGATTGTCCATTGCAGTGCTGAATCGTCCCCATCTTATTCTTATGTCTCTCTATCCATTCTGACGTTCTGGACATCGGAATTGCTAAAATAACTGCGGGGACGTATAGGGGAGGAAATGTTATAATATCGGTTATTTTGCTGATACTTTTTCTATTTTCATTTTTATTCTATTCTTTTTGGTTTATATAGATTGTCTTAATGCCCGGTTAAGATTCTCAACAGAATTCCTGATTGAATAATAAAAATACAAATTTTGATAAAAAAATTAAAATACTGAATAATCATATTGATTATCTTATTGTTTATTATTACGGTATAAAGTCTATCTATTGTTCGTCTTGCTTCTTCCGAATGTCTTCTTGCTTCAGTTTCGACTAGATGATATTTTAAATAATCTAGGGAAAATATTAGATAATGTTGATTATCTTTTACATCGCTTTGGTCCTTTTTGACATCCTTTTAACATTTGACATTTTGAATGCAATTAAAATATCAATAGGATGCTTTGGTTTTAATAACATTTTGTATCACTTATCAAATAATATATCAGAAAATGTAGCGAGCGATATATATGTCATAGATTACAGCGTAAAGATATCATTCTTGTTCTATCAATTCTGACTAACTAAAAATTTCGGCAAGCAATTGAGACACAGTTGATTTCTGGCAAGATAACAAATATAAAAAGACTGACATTTTGTTGTCCATTGGCATTGGAATTATCATATTCTACTTTTTTCACTACTTTTAATGAGTGAAAGTTCTTAACATTGATTAAAAACACTTGGCAGACTTCTAATTGTGTAATAAACATGAAGGACAGTTGTTGCTGTCCATTATAGTGTAGAATCGCCGTTCTCCTCCCTGGTCCAACTGTTGCGACCATTCGACGTTTTCGACATTTGACTAAGATTTCTCACTGAATTCTTGCCCGGATAATAAACGGGGCTGGCTGGTCTATTGCTCTTCAAGCTCTGTCTCGTGCTGCCGTTGGACACGTTGTTATTCCAGCTGATGGTATTGGCACGATGGAGGTGGCCGTGCCTGACTGAATTTCTCAGCTCGATATTTGTCGTGACGACCGATTCGTCGTAAGTCTGAAACTCCGGACTGTCCCGGCCTGGTACAAACAGCCTGGACGAGCAGAAGAGCTTGAGGAATATTCTCTTGAACTTCCGTCCGAAGATCACGTAAATGATGAAGTTGATGCTGCTGTTGATAGTCACCAACAGATTGCCGATTTGCACCATCCACTGCGGCGGATCTGCGATGAACGTCTCATGCGCATTTGAAATCATAGGCAGGATGTTGCAGATCAGGAACACGATCACCACGCACATCAACATCGTCGCCAGGCCGATCTCTCGGCGCTGATGACGTGACAGCTGCTGCAGGTCTCTGTTCGCTTTTCTGACCTGAAAACCGGCATACGCCTAAAGACATTATGAGACATAATCCAACATTTCTATGTTAGAAAAAGATATCTTTTATCTTTCTTTTTTATCTTGAGTTTTTCATGGAATATGATATAATTTAACTTTAATAAAATTTTTACTTATAAGATAGGCAATTAAATTAGAATAGTTTATAATTGTATTTTATCAAGAAATAACAATATTTTATTACGTGATGTAATATTCACTTTATTGCCGCTATAAAAAAACCATCTTTCTACATTTATCTTGCTTTAATAGTTCATTTTTTGATCGTCTTTGATGTAAAAAAGTAAAGCCTTACGAGAAAAATGTGTACTTGATAAATGCCAAAATAGCGTTTTGTTAATAAAAATTGATCTATTTACTCGTCTCGCGAGGCTAATAATTGAATTTATATGTTAGTTGATACTGTGAATTTTGTCATATTATAAATTTTGCTAGATTTTCGGGCAAACAGTTTTTTAAATTTCCAAGTATCGTTCGATGATGTAATACACGATAATAAGCAGAAGATATGTGCTTTCAAATACTGTGAAAGAAGAAGCTCGATTGAAGAAACGATTAATTACAAAATCGACGAAGGTAGGTTAATGAGCGAGTTCTTGTTTTTCCGGGATACGATGAAATAAACAGAGTAATTATCCGCATGAACAAGGAATCGTTAGAAATATGAGATGAAAGGAACACGATAACTATTCAAATGGGTAAATTAAATTTGTATCAGGTAGATCAATAGCTCAGAGCTTATTACGTTTCTTAAAACGAAAATTACAAAAGTGAATTTGCTCGCTTTTATAACTTTCATCTCGTTTCAAGAATTGTAGCAATCCCTATATTTCACTGTTATAAATTTCATGAAATTTAATATACTTTTAACTTAAAAAATTTGAACTTAATTTCCTGACATTATATTAAATTTAATATTATAATTTATTTATAACCAAAAAGTATAAATATATACTTACATGTATACCAAAAAATATAATATGTACATGTTCACAAAATAAATTTGTGTACATGTACATGAAATTTAATGTAGTTTTCTAAAATTTTATGAAATTTAATGCACATGTTCATTTAAATAACTACTGTAACTTAATTTTGAGTTAATCATTCATTATTTTTATTTCGTTCGTAACCACGAGTTTCATTTACATGTAAAGGAAGCATTTCTAATAGTATTCTTAAATATTATCAGTTTTTTAAAGAAAAAAATTGGAAAACCATAATAAAAATCGAAAAAGAATATAAGTATAAAAATCGAAAAAAAATATATATATATATATATATATATATATATATTATACATAAATTAAATATAAATTTTATTTTATTTTTAACAAATTAAAACTGAGTATTATAATTTATAAATTTTACAAATTTCTTTTTTTCTAAAATTTAAAAATCATTATAAATACAACTGCAATTTTTAATTGATTTAAATGGATACGATTAGATAAAAATTTATTATTACATTTTACCGATATAATCATCTTTCAAATAAACTGATATTCTATGTAAATGCACTTTTTGAAAACAAAACACAGAGTTGACGAAAGGTTTTGCGTATTGAAATTATAGTTCTAACGACTCCCGTAATGCGATGTAAAAACCGGTAATAGCACCCTGGACGTATTGTGCCACGTTTATTTTGTAACGAATCATATATTATTTCAGTTTGAAATGAAACACATTGTGTTTGCAGTAGTTAGCGATGTATGTATCTTTAATTTGTATTATCTGCTTTTTTTCAGGTTTACGAACGATCGCGATCGTTCTTCAACATAGAAGAATATCCCATAACTAAGTTTGCGAGAGATCGGGATTTTATTTTTTTGATTTGGTTCCCAGCAAATATTATTGTAGTTACGTCATGATATAAAAAGATTGTCGTAGTTATGTTTAAAAAAGAAATCTTAGAACTCTCTCTATTTTACAACTAACGTGAGAATCCATCATGAGCTTCTCTCTATAAAAAGAAAATCATCGATATACTCGTGATTGTCTGTGTCTCTTGTTAGTGGAGTGTTCCTCTACATCGAGATTCCCGCACAATAGTATTTGATTTCCTCTATCTTGTGAAAGTTAAAGGCGAAGAGGAAAGGAGCATCAACGAGAACGTTCGATTCGTGGACAAAATTCCGAGCTTTGCGCCAGTCGCCCACCTATATTTCACGTCGCCATTCTCGACGCTTGTTCCGCGGCTTCCAAATTCGCCCACGCCGTACTCGGGAACACAGTAAGAAAGCGCTGAATAGATGCCAGACAGGCTGCGATATTTTACTACCAACCAAACGGGGCGGAACGTAAAAGAACGCTTGGGATTCCCGTGCACAAGAATGATTAATCTCGGGATTTCGGTTGTAGATTTTCAGGATTGTCAGTAGTTTCCGAAATATATTTGGAATATAACGTGTGGCTTATCCGAAATAATTATGAAACAAATCGACGAATTACAAGAAGAAAACGCAATAAAGTTTCAACAATGCATAGCTTCTATGACAATTGACGTTAAACGAGCAGGTGCACTGTTTGTAACATATGATTTATAAAGTGATGAAACAGTATGCTGTTTGTAGAATTTCAATATATTAGTCATTTCCACAATGCATCCCAATATATCAAACGTAGTTGAAACTAAGCGGAAAGCTGTGCACAAAAGCATAATAATTACATTAACTTCAGCATCAAAAATGATTCGCCATAATCAATAATTATTTATTGATGTAATAGCAATAGATGGATATTCATAAATATCATTCATAACAAATTTCGATTTTCATATAACAATCAAATTAATTATAATCACATTGAAATGAACTAAAATACAATGAAATGTGAAAAAGGAAAAAGATACACACGAAATAACAAGAAAAATTTTCGAGTATTGTAAATTAAGTCTTAAGAATTTAAAAATTAGGAATTTTGCTATCTATTATTCCTATCTATTTACTGGTTTGCCTACTGATTTTTTGCATACTTCTGATTCTATGGCTTCCGCTTCCGAATCATGAGAGCAAGTTACGTGCTTGCGTACTAACAATTACGACGGCGAAGTGACGACTAATTATTATTAAGAGTTTGCGTCACTTCGGCGAATTATTATGCGAGTCGCGTATCACTGACGTGTCTCAGATTATTGTATTCAGTTCATTCGGTACTGCTCTTCGCGAATGTGCTCGTGTTAAATTATTTAATAAAATTATTATCCACTGTAAACTTCGAAACGGAACGCGTAATATGGATCGTATCTCCTTGCAAATATTAGGTCATGTAAATAAAGCTGGGTGAATGTCCTTAGCTGGCGCGAATATAAGCGTTTGTTTCAACTCTTTGTCCCTTGCTTGAACGTTGTCATGCCTATCACCCTGTCATTCACGGACGACTATATCTTGATTTCATAGAAAATTGCTCTAGAACATTGTCGAAGGAATGTGGAAGGCGCAATTTAATGGTTAATTATATTTTTCAGAAATTTATTAAGGATATATTACACATATTTTTTTAACAAAATAAAGAAATTATGAAAAAATTATTTTTTTTATATTTTATTTAAAAATAAAAAATTTGGTGACGATTTAGAACATGGATTAAAAATTGTTTTAATAATAAATAGATATGTTTTTAAAAAAATAATTAAAATAATGAGAAAATTTTTATTTAAATTATAAAATTGTATTATTAAATATAAATATTAAACTGTTTCATATTATGTAATATTTAGTTTTATACAGAAAGCACACTATGTATCCGGATAAATTTTTAATTCTACTTTTTGCAGAGATATATATACATCCTGATATATACATCCAAGTTCAATTTTTTAAATATACATATAAACATAAGCAAGTGAGCGTTAACTTTTTTATTGATTGAAACTTTTTCTTTAATTGACAAAGCGGAAGCATTCTCTTTATTTTATTCATATTTTCTTGCCGCTTATTGTTAGTTGCGGTTTCTTATCAGAAAGAGAAATATCAAGAGACTGCTTCGTCAGGAAGTAAGACTTCCAAGACGAGATTAAATAGCTTCCTTCATTTGCCACATGAGCATTCTCATCGGAAACGCGCTTTCATCTGTGTGAAGTTTGTGGAAGTTGTCCTGCAGAATATGTCACTGAAAAGCTCATCTTGATCTCGGAATTAAGGACGAAATTTGTAGACAGTAAAGTTTCACGATAAGGAAAAGCTGAGAGAAATAGTTGTCCTTCGACAACAGGCGCTTTGTAATTTCAAACTCCCGAGGGTCATATATATAGATCCGATTCCACCCTACAGCTGAATTTTATAGCGAAGATATTATGTATCCTGATATTATTTTGAAATGCATATCACGTAAAAAACACATATAATTTTTATATATAGAAATAAAAATTATATACATTTAGCAAATTAAATCATTTAAAATTGCAAAGATAATATTTTCATATTAATCTAAATCAAGTTTTAATTATTGTATCATTTTTTTTTCCCATTTTTCTTTCATTTAATTAAATCGAAGAAAAAATATCGCTTAGCAAAAATCGTTATGTTTATCTTACAGTAATTATTAAAAAATATATAATAAAGGCAATCGTTATTAATTTATATCAAAGTAATTATTATATTAATTTCTATTTCTCTTATATTTAGATTTCTGTCTAATTAATTACAAAAAGTAAGACATATTGATTATATATAAAATTATTATTCTAATTTTGATCTCGAGATTATTAATTTACTTTTTGCTAATTTTATTATATTATGTTATTATTGCCTATAAAATTAGAGTGCAGAAATTATTTTGCAATATTTAACACATGTTAACTTTTGTTTACAAATATGTTTCACATATTTTATCGAAGGACAAGGAGGAGGAGAAGGATGATATTACTTGAGTCTGCAACTGCAGTTGTGTTGTCTGCATAAGTGGCATATGTGAGAGCAGCCGTCCATGAATTTCGCTGCTCTTATACGTGCTCGCGAATTCTAATCTTGTGCACGTGTATCAAAGAGACTTATATACTTTGAGTAACTTTATTGATTTTGTCGCTTCGGCTTATTATTCGTACTTTTATATGACATAGTCAGCCCGTTACGGAACTTATTGCAGCTCGATTACTCTTCTTACTCCTTTGTCATGACTTATTGCGAATTCTAAAAAGAAGTTTTAATAAAACGGAACAGTAGCTTTGGGAAATATCAGCTCCCATCAGGGAAGCTACCGCTGACAAGCTGTTCGATATCTCACATTTAATCCGACTGTATTTCGTATTTCATTTCGGGTTGTCAATGTTTTCTGTCATGTTTCCAGTTCGAAATTTAACAATCATAGACGATGTTCTTGTAAAATAAAGTAATAACTGTTTCTTTAATTTTTTTAACTTTTTTACAATTATAAAGCACGCTCAATTTATACTTTCAAAAGAAAATTGGTAAGTAATTGGTAGTAATAAAAGTCAAAGGAAATTAAATTAGCAATATATTAAAATTATGTTATAAAAATAAATATTATTTTTTAATAAAACAATTTTTAAATTTATTTTTTATTATATATAGAACGTCAATTTTTGAAAATGCTCTTTACTTATGATGACTAATGTTGTATTTCAATTTTATCATTGTGCGTCGGATCTGTATAATTTATATTCGGAGTAAATTAGATTAAAAATAAAGTTCGTCCACGTGCGAAATAAAATATTCTTTTTTTGAGGTACATTATTTCTTGATAAAATATTATTTTAATAAAATATTCTAGATTTATGATAATATTGGACTTTATGTTACTCACCCTTCGATAAATGGCCGTATTAAAAATCACTAATGCGATGAACGGGAACATGTAATACACAAAAAAGTACATCCAATGAATGTACAGGATGACATAATATTCGTTGCTCCTCAATTCGGTTGATTTAACGCAGTACACCGTAATATTATACTTCCAATGCTTCTCGTTGTATACCTCAATTTCCCAGAATCTAAATAATTTCAAAAATTAATTTCTCCATTAATTTGCACAATATAATTACAAATTCTGTTGCAATCAATTGTAAGCGTAAGATATTTTTTAGATATTCTTTTCTTTTCATCGTTTCTCTCACTATTAAACATTTTATATTATATCTCGTTCTAACCAAACAAACAGGAAAAATAAAAAATTTTAAAACATTTATTTTAAAACAAAATTTAAATAATAGGGTTTTTAAAATTCAAAATAATAATAAAGTATACGGGCAACGAGAGCGTTAATACAGCGTGGAAATTGATAGGCAATTCATATAATATTTATATAATATTCACATAATATATTAATAAATCTACAATGACTAGTCGATATAAGTTTCTTTGGAAAATTATCCACAATTTTTCTGGTTTAAAGTAAATCGAAACGTCCAAAGAAGTTTGTATTGACACTTATCATATCATTAAATATTATATGAATTACGCACCAATTTTCAGCGCTGTATTAACGCTTTTATTGCTCGTATATTTTATTATTATTTTACAATTATTTTAATTAAAACTTCCTTTTTCTACATTAATTTTCTTTTTAATTATAAACAAAGAAAAAATATTAAAAACATTAGCTTGATTACTCACTTGGGTAGATTGTAAATAAAAGCGACGATCACTATGATCAGCACTGCCACTTGGGCCCGTCCATAAGTGCAAAAGGATCTAGCTTTCAATGGATGACAGACCGCGATGTATCTCTCTAAAGTCACCGTTAACGTCAGATACACTGTCACAAATTGTGCTATGCAAGACAACGGATACAGGTACCTGATGATTTTCGGGTAGACGATAAACTTGTAGTCAAATAGTGCGCCTGTATACGTGTAGATTGCTGGTAATCCGAAGATTAATACCTATAAATGCATAATTTATAGATACAATTAAAAAAGGGCTTCTTATAAAGGATGTTAAAAAAATCATTCAGCATTTATATGGTACACGTCATACTGAATAAAAAAACTTTAGTGAACATAAGTCGAAAATTTAACCATTTCCGAGATATAAATAATTTTATATGTTAGTATCATGACTCTTATTGTCTCTCCAGTTTTTTTTAACATTCAAAGTGTATTAAAATTGGTAATTGAAATTTGGTTTATCAATTGCATATATTTGATAGAATCTAATTATTTATTAAGTGATAGAATCTATTTATTTATAAAGTGCGATTATATTTATTCGTGACATCTGATAGATGAGTGTGTGTGTGTGTGTGTGTGTGTGTGTGTGTGTGTGTGTGTGTGTGTGTGTGTGTGTATAAATAATTCGTTAGGAAGACGGAGTGCAAAGTCGACGCTGGAACGGAAAGTTCATTTCAAATAATTAATTAATAATCAGGTTGGTATGTGTAATGTGATCTCGAGAGGGTTGACGGAATTCTGCTCCTCCAGCTCATCTCTTTTAAACCAAAAGATCCTGTTTATCGTGTTAGTCCTATTAGTCTTGATTTTATCCACGAAAATGTAAGACCGCGTAACACGTGATTTATTTACCTAAGCTCAACATGTGATCTATATTATTATATGTCATCTTAACATGCCATGCATTTTCAAAGACATTAATTCTTCTTCTCTGTATCGCGAATTTATATTGACAAAGGTTGCTACGAAGATGATGTAAAATTATTCTACATAAAAGAGGTAAAACTTCATCTATGAAGTCTGTTCTTTATAATACCTTTTATTACCGCAAGACATTAGAACATACAATAAAAATTGTTTTATTCTATATCATAAAAGTCACTTCGAAAAATAAATTTTTTCTATTTTTCTATTCAATTTACTTATGAAATTTTTTAAAAATATGGTTATGTATATTAACTTTTTAAAATATGACTTTTTAAAATAAAATACGTACATATATGTATATAATATATCACAATTAAATACGCCATAATTTATTATATATTTTAGTTCATTTTTATCCATACTACCTGGAAAATAAATATATTTTTCTAGAAAAACATTTTTAAATTAAAATTTTTAAATTTTTAGTCAAGCAAATTACAAAATTTACTGAAACCATTTCTTTATAAGTCTTCATAATAAGCTCTCTTTATATTTTTTAGATTTATCTGAAATTTGTAGTTATACAAACACATATGTACATTTGAAATAAAAATGCGAGAGCATATAGAGATAAAGATATAAATTACATGTTTAGAGAAATAGCTGAAATTATGTGAGATAAACCAGAACGCATACTACTGAGTTATATTAAAGAGAATTTATTTTAATGAAAAGCTCGGCTATGTCGGAAATTTACGTTTGCATGAAACACGGGAATTAAAAGTAAAATTAAAATGAGAGTGGTCTGCGGCTGATTTCTACGACAAGGTATTATAGTCTGTGGTGGATATCTTTTACGAAAATTGAATTTTGACATTTAACACTTGTCAGACATCGTATTTCAGGTCGTTAATTACTTTGTTTGATACGGCAAAGATTAATTAATTGTCAGATTCAGATATAAGGAAGATGAGAATTTTGCATTTTTAACTCGTTAATGAAAGATATTAGCTGGTGCAAAAAATATTTCAATACAGCATCTCAGGTAAAAAATTTAATAGAAAAATATTTTTGTCGCGTGTAAGATATTAATTGAATTAATAAAAATGAATTTTTTAACATAAGTTGATAATGTAAAAATCAATCTTATGCATCATAAAGTTAAACACTACATTTTTTTAAAATTATCTTTATTATATTACCTAATTTTTGAAATTTAATTATGTTGGATGGATATTATTTTTGTTAAATTTCAATTTTTTGTCATTTAATATTAAATATATAAAAAGTGATTTTTAAATTAAAATTCCATTGAACGACAATCTATCTCAAGCTAAATATCTAAGAATAAAATTATGCAACGATATGTATAGCTAATTCATAGAAGACTCTTTTATTCCAAATTTCAAACTTACTGATGCGTTAACACCGAAGTAGGTTTAATAAATAGCGTTTTTTTTTTACGTTTCATCATCGCATGTTTGCAATGGTTCTCTGAAAATATCCCGTATATTCGACAAAGAGGATTAAACATGTTGTCTCTCAAACGTTAACTCGTATCACTTTCAACATGAGCGAACTCGGTTGTTTCGAAAGCTATTGTTAATAAAAGATAAGAGTAACAAGGCGTCACGATAAGCTCTTCGACATGCAACTCAATGTTCAGGAACGGTGCGAACGATGAAATGCTTTTTTTTTTAAATTTTATCTGGTGCGCATGATTGATTGGCAGCGGCCAGACGCGACGGTAAACGCTGGGTCATTCGGTGGCAATTACGAGGCGTTTCACGATCCCATTGAAAATCGTTTCTGGTCATGTGTGCCAATTAAATATTGATTTTCCGTTTGGCGCATTGTGATTCATCATACGTCGCAATTCGGGTCATGGTGAGAAAAATCGCATCTTTAAGTTTCACAAAAAAAAAAAAAGTAAAATGTACAATAGATGTATGAGCACATCCAAGATCTTTTCTGGAAGAGGCAGGTCTCTGTCAATTCTGTTATCATACAAACAACAATCTTTTGCGTTAATTGATAATTTTTTGAATATTTGAGAGCTTGGAATGTTTCCTTCTTGTTTCTGATTTTGAATAGGAAAAATATTAGGTTTCAATCATAACTTTTAATCACAAAATTTCAGGGGAAAGGGGTTGAACCCTTTCCCCAGGATACTCCCATGAATAAAAATATTTGTGTACATCTTATGCTATTGTTAATTAATAAATAATAAGTAATAAATAATAAGTAAATCGCGTAGGCAAACGTATAAAATATTTGTCGTATTATTAACTGTAATATAAGTAAATCTATTCTGATATTATACAATAAGTGGAAGATATTTAAATTAAAATAAAAAATATTTCAATAGTCTGTTATCTCTTTAAAATAATTAGTACTTTTTAAATATATAATTGTTTAGACTAATATATATAAGATTATATTCTGTATAAAAAATGTAAATAAATTTAATATAAAATTCATTATTTTGTTAAATAGTAAAACATCTTTTAAAAGCTTTTAAAGTCAACATTAATTTCGGTATAATAAAAACTCTTTCATATTATTTCTTCGTAATAAGGGTGAAAAGTAGCTCGACCAGTTCACTGAAGTGGCTGTTAACTTTGACCGTTTTTTTTACGTGCAATATTCCATTTTTACGATCCTGCACAATAATTCTACCATATAATATTTAATTCTACATTAAATTCATAATTCACAATAATTATATCACGTAATATTTAACTCTGTGTATGAATTCATAAAAATGTTCACACACTTAAACGAAGTCATCAGCATGTTTTCCTTTACGTAACTTCCAATTTCTTCAAAGTGTCAAGAAATAAAACATTATACAAGCAAAGCATAATTTTCTGCATTTCTTTAATTGCATTCGCTATCTCTTTAAAAACTAAATTATATTTTACTTATCGTTGATTTTTTAAAATACGCTTTTTACACTATTGCGTAATTCTTGTCCTGACTGTTTTCTGTCTTTAAAGATATTTATTTCTCTCGCGTAAAAAGTATAGGACGTAAACTATATAAAAGAGATGCACTTACCGCAATAATGATCAGTACTGTGTCACATCTGGCCAATCCAATCAGTAGATAATTGATAGAAGATTTCATCTGCGGCCGTGACAAGATGATCATTGAGATCGTGTTGCCGAAGATTCCGAAGAGACCAATCAGGTTGACAAATATACCATAAATAATGAAATCAGCTAGACCGTTGGTATTGACCTCCTGTCCACATTCGAACAGTCCTTCATTGCTGCTGTTGCTGAAGTTTTGCATGAATTTATCATCGTAATAACGGGAAGCGGCCGTCGTTGTCATCATCGAACTTGTTTCCATCGTTCAGCAATTTTTATCACTTCCTGATTTTGCATTACCCTTCAATCTTGTCACTTCACGTTACCATCTTTATTCTCGCAACCTCCGTGTTCTCTGTCTATCTAGCCTTTCCTTTTGCTTATCTTCAATTCTAATTGAATCTTCATGCTCTTCAAATTTATTAACTGTAAATTATTTGTGTAATTTTCGACTTAATTATTTTTTTGTTACTACAAATATCCTTAAATAATGTTGCTTTTGTCATTTTTGATACTATTAATAATTACTATTAATAATACCAAATTAATAAGTTAATAGATAAAGTGCTATTATTAAAAAATCTATCAATTAAAAATTATTTGGTATACAAAATATATATCTCCAAAAAGAAAATACATAGAAATAATTAGAAATAAATAAATAGAAAATTACTCTAACAAATTTTAACTTTTGACTTTTAAGTTTTATTTCTCATTTCGTGTATACGTTCAAAAGCTTCATTATCTATATATGCATCATTAACGTTCCTTCCGACTGATTTAATTTTTATTAGGAAAAAGTCGGGATAAGAGTTCATTCGTCTCAAGTGATCCGTGTCTAAAAACTTAAAATCACTAAAGTTTTCTTGGTAAAAGACTGTGAGATGTTTTATTGCAAAAAAAAGAAGAAAATAGCTTTTTACCTTTGTTATCAAATGTCGACTTGACAAGTCGATCTCTCGCTGTCTTTGATATTAAAGTGTATTCGAATATCATAACGTCAATCCTATGCCCGATTTATTTTGTTCTATACATTATCCTCGATCGTGTTTCATGGAAAGAATCGGGTCGGTTTAGTCGTCTCCGCGTAGAGAGTTCCGCATAGATGCTTTTACGATGTATCGCTGTGTTACGACGAACCGCGAGCCGCTTTGCCATTCGAAACTTCTGTCGCAGTAACTTGAACGGTAATCTGTAAACTGAAAAGGAGAAAACATAAGTTATATATTTTTAAAAAGCGTTTTTTACATGATTTTCTACGTATTAAAAAAAGTGTATATTAATTAAATCATTGAAATAACGAAGAAATATACGCCAGAAATGTCATAAAATTATAATAAGGATCGCAATAATCAAATAATTCAGATAAAGCTCTAATGAGTAAATAAAAAAATTAAAAAGAAGTCTTTAAGAGCTAATACAGGTTGTGTATAAATACATATATTTATTTATTATAAAAGGCAAATATACGTTTTGATTCTAATTTGGATCCTTTTCAGTATATAAGATAATAATACTCTTCTCAAGATAATTATACTCAAGATAAGATAATAATACTTTTCAGTATATATTTTATTATAATTAACTTTTATTATATTTAACTTATTATAATTAACTTTTATTATATTTTATTATAATTAACTTTTACAACAATAGTATGCTATATATTTGTTCACTATATTATTTAGTTTATTGGAATTTAATGAATAACTATTAACATGCTGTGGATATGAAAAAATCTAGTTAACATTTGATTATATTAACTCTTTTACATCGATATTCTTGACGATTTTTATGATTGTTATTTTATGCAAATATTAAAGTTATACTGAAAAGGATCCAAATTAAGATCGAAACGTATATTTATCTTTTATAATAAAATATATGTATTTATATACTTATAACTGGCTCTTAAATTCTTTTTACTTTTTCGATTGCAATAATATAAGCAATTATGAGCAGATTTATAGATTTCCAATATTATTTTATTTTATATATAGAGAAATTGCTTACTACCTCTTTTTATCACAAATTTTAAAAGTTTTACATTATTATTATGATTTAAAGTTTGATTTTAACGAGCACGAGTTTATCATTATTATCATTTCACTGACTACAATAGCAGGCAAATAGCGTTGTGACATAATTATTAATTGTTTGCCACAACGTTTACATCTGAGCTTTCGTGGGCATCGGTCTTGTTTGCAAACAGACACGGTCGTGTCTATCAAGCTGTATAGATAGCGCATGTTATAGGATATAGTCACGAAATATCGTTAAAGGTTTCTCATGATCAGTGTGTATTGGAAATCTCGACCGAGTAAGTCGTGTGAGTTCGTCAATTTAAAGCTGAGAAGACATTTTGTACTGCGAGATATTGGTGAATAATAATAGCAATCGGATTGGGCAATTCTCGTAATTCTTCGTTCGGGAGATTTTCCAGGATTTGCATTTAATTGGATTACGTATAAAATCGGTATGTGCGAATCTTTATTTAAAACGCATTTAACTAGACCACGTATAAAATCGATATAAAATAATTTTTATTTAAGATAAGAAGATATAAATTCTTTGAGTTATGTATTATTTATATCTCTATTTTACTTATTTACAGATTAGTTTGTAGATCTAGATTTAGTCAGTGACTTTCGACTGCTTCCAAGGCAAGAGACGAATGTAAGTATCAAATATTACCGAACAGATTAATAATACATAAATCGCTTCATCTCGTTGATTAATACATAATTACGAAAAACAATGATTTTTTTTCCTTATATTCGCTTATTACAAAATTCTTAAATTATATTCTCTCTATAATAGTTATATTTAAAAGTTAAATATTCGAAGTACGAATAAAACGTTGTATTCGTACTGCACAAATATTCAAATTATTTGGAGGATTGAAAATAAAAGTAGATGAAGCTGCTTACGAACGGATCGTTCGAACAATCGCCATGTAAATAAAAATTCACATTTTCTGAGACCAACGATGGTAACGCAATCGCATAGCGCAGTTGATGTAATGAAACGTTCCTTTCATCTACTTGTTTTGTATTAATTTATTACATTGTACGTTTTACAATCTCAAGAGTAAATGAGCAGAAATCTCATTTACGACGACTGTGATGGATCCGATAAGGATGCAATTACGTGTTTCGCGACGCGTATATTTACGCTTGTGGGCGTATCACACACACATACACGCGTCCAGGTCCAGACATAAAGGTGTAATACCGATTGTGTCAAAACGGCTGATCGCATTGGCAACGTTCATGTCTATTCCAAATGATCCTATGGATACGTATTCGCGACACAGCTGGGTATCACCAATTGCGGTATGCTCACTCGATTTCCACACGACCAATCTTGTGCGTAGTTACGGTTTTCCGCATTTCCGATCATCTCTGTTTCAATTTACAATATTGTCCTGCCGTTTGCCTTGCAGGCTGACAAAAACGGTTACTCCGTAGAACGGCGTTTCTAGCTTCTAAAAATTTAAACGGAAAAGCTTCTTCTTGAGTATATCGATACGTTTATAGCTGCGTAAAAAAGAATTATTTTTAGATAGTTACCTTCTTATCTAATTCTCATTTAATTAATAATATAATAATAATTGTTTTATTGCAATATAAAAGAAACAACGAAGTTGCAGTTGGTATACAAAAAGTTTATATTTCTCTTTCATTTTTGGTGTATCTAATATACTTGTTTAAGACAATCTTTTCACATCATTTTGTAGATATAAATAATATATAATTAATAAATCTGTATTTTTTTAACGCATTAATATATTATAAGATATTTTTGATCATTTTTAAATTAATATATAAGAATAATTTTACATTGTAAAATTTGTTTAATGCGACTGTAATGTATTGGGGGATCTCTCTTTCTCTTTCTCTGTCTTTCTCTCTTAAAAAAAAGGGAACTTTTTCCCTCTGTAAGAACAGAATTTCACGTGTGCAATCTTTACGCGATTTGTTTAATGTATGGAAAGTGCTATAAATTTCTTTTGACATTTAGAGCAAATTGGAAGCGCGGAGATCAATCTTGCGGATATTGCTTGCTACACTATCTTCTTGTCTCTTCAATGTTCGGATCACGCCTTAACTGCAGAATTCACCATGGGGGGTTCAAATAAATACCCAACTGTAAATTACTCCGCCACGATTCGCGTGTGTCATTTAAAGACAAACACTAATTTGCTTCGGCTGATCTATTCCCGCCGGGTGGTCGATGAAATACCCGTTGATCAATTTTATTTTTAAACTTTTTCCTTCTTTCTTATATGTCGTCGAACGCGAGAAAGTTTCGCCGAGTCGGTGTTTCTCACAACGGCGGAAGCGAACGAATATTCACTTTTCTGCTTTTCAGTCTTGGCACGCGTAGACGTCTAGGAACGCCGAGATGGCTGGCCACCTCTTTGATAATGTTGCGTAACAGCGATATTTGTGTGTCCGAACAGAAACGCACGTAATTTGCACTTCGTACGAAACAACATGCGGGATGTGCGGGATGCCAAAATTAATTCGCAGTAATCGAGCGTCCGTCGCACATCACGCGTGTAATTAAGGTGCTTGAATTATAACTTACGTGCTAATTAATTTACAAAAAAAGAGCTCTATTAAATAGCTATTAAATAAATATACCATATTGTCATTTTTCATGACTACTGTGTGTCTATATATATTCTCTCACATTAGTGGCAATTAAATATTATATTTCTAAATTTATTACATTAACTATTTGTCTCGGATATGTTTCTCATATTTTGCATGCATATGCGAGAAAAAAAAATGTTCAGTGTTCAGGATTGACTTGATCGCTGAAATTTGTTTTTTTTGTTTTAGGCTAACATATGGACTTATGCATATTTCTCATACAAAATATGCTATCTATCGTATTCCTTTTTTAGTTTCTTTTATTGGCACGAGATTCGAGAGCAAAACACATAATATTTCTTCGTTCCGTGCAGAAAATATTCGAACAGGCTTTTCTTCTCTGGCATGTTCATTCAAGGACTCAAGTCAACTCCTTGGGTCACATTTTTGCCCTCTTTTTTTAATTCTGTTTTCCTTGAACTGTATTGCCATCGGAAATGACATTTCGCCTTTTCGTAAAGCCACTCTCTTTCTCGAATAAAACGTTTTTCAGGTGATAGTATTGGAACGATGATTTATATACGAATCGAAATGACGTTTCTATATCAGAAAACTTTTAGATTGTTTTCCTTTTTCCCTCTCTCTCTTTCTCTCTCTCTTTTTAAACCGCAAGTATTATATAGTTTTCTTCAAGCATTTTTATGTGTCATGTATCTCGAGTATTTTTAGAAAGTTAAAGTGCTCCCTCTGTAGATTTGCCCTCTCCTTTCCACTTTTTATTCTGGAATAAAATTATTCGACCAAGAATAAAGTTGCATTGCAAAATGAAAAGTCAATTGCACAGGTAATAACAAAATTTCCTTCTGCGACGAAACTTATCTCTGGAAAAGACAATAAAATTTACACCGTAAAGAAAGAAACTGTTAACTTTATGCAAATATCCCAAGTTCGAGCGGAGCAATTTCCTTAATTAATTTTCTCCCAATATTGTTAGATTCGAAAATATTATTGTTGTAACTATATTAAAATACTTGTTTTTAAGTTTCTTTCAGACGGACAGTAGATAAAACTATAAAAAAAGCCAAGATAACGCGACAGCGCGTATCTTGAATGTATTCCGGGGGTGATTTATGAGAAGTATAAGTCAACGCGAAATGCATCTGACCGCAATTTGCGGCTTGCAAGAGATGCATTTTTGTTTCGGATACGCCGCAGATTAATTCAAGGCTTTATTATTGCAGTGGTATATCCTTTTCTTTTTCTTTCACCTCGTTAAGCACGATTTCTACGTTCACGGCGGGCAATCGCAATTTTTCGAACGAGAAAACATGTCTCAGAGAACAATGACCAACGATATATTCTATCTTTTATTTCATTGCAATGTAAATTGACTATTCTCGTTTTTCGCTTTTTTTTTATTACAATTAAAACTCCCTTTGAAACGTTATATGTCAGAGATTTGCGCATAACAGCAGATCATTAATTGAAGCACATTTCAGAAAAAAGTAATTGGTAAAAGAATTAATAAAAAAGTAATTAGATAGAATAGTAAAAAGAAAGATGAAGACAATAACAAGAAGCTTTTAAAGGAAATTTCTTGTTATTCTTAAATTGTCTTCATCTTTCTTTTCATTTATGCGTTCATATTTTATCATGTCCGTGTTAACAAGAAATAACGAAATCAGAAGCCAAACGAATTTGTTCATGAACAAAGCCTCGTTCCTACTTTCGTCGGACGTCGATAAATCTTTTTTCACAAGTTATTCCGGGGCGCTATGTATGTATATGTATGTATTACCTGGTGGAAAAAATTTGTTAGAGTTTGTTGAAAAAATAAAATAAATTCTAACGAATTCAGACAATATTATCGAAATTTGACTGAAAGTATTTCATTTTATCTAACTGTCCAAATTTGTATATTTGGACAATTTTCGAAGAAATTTAGAACAAATTCGAACACATTTTGACTACATTTCGAATAATTTTGGACATATTTGGACAAATTTTTCCACAAGGGTTGCTGTAGATGTTGCATGAAGACGACATAATCATCTCTCAAGGTTCGACTACAAAGGACCGCGAAGAATAGTATTTATATCAATGTGCAAAAAAAAAACGATAGTCTAGATATATATAGAATACTCGAAATCACACTGCTGTAACACGTGTATTACTGATATTTACTAGAAATTAAAAACAAACGATTATTGTCTCACTATCGGAACGTTAACATCTTCTAAATTGTAGCTATTATCTTTCAAATAATTTTTGTCGCCAATGTTCTGGAATTCAAATTATTCACATTATTGCCAATAAATATATATTTCAATAAAAGAGACTTCAATAAAAGAGACGAAAATATAAAGGAACTATATTAAATCTTTTGAGGCAAAGCTTCTTTTGCGTATTCTTGAAAGTAAATGCATCCCTGTTTTAAAATTAAAAAAAAATGTATTTTTAAAACTGTGAAAAATGAAAAGTATTGATCAATTTAATTAAAAGTTTCAACTTAAAAAATCGATTATGTGATTGTCTATAATGTTATTTATCTTGCCAGTAAAGTCCTAAAATCAATGGGATGACGGAGACTAGTTAAAGATTAGTACGTACATTTGTCGTTGAAACTTTTATTTACCAAGTGGGTCGCGCCGGTGTTACGTTTAGTTTCGTTGCCCCCACAAAGTAGAACGGTCAGGAAATGAGATGGGATTAGTGTCAGTTGTAGGTAATAACGCCGAAGCGTGAACGCGGCAGCTGGTACCAGCGTCGTTTCTATTGCGGACATTACGGAAGAAAGTGCAGGGCTCTGCTCAGAATCCTATTCTGCTTCTATGTATTTGCATAATTACGTGACTCCATTCGCTCTGAGCCTACACCGAAACGCCATCAATCTTGCTGTCGAGACTGCGATCGTTCCTGAAATGGAATCGTGTTTCTTCGCCTCGTTATTTGGGAGAAACATAACAAGGAAATCCTCTAAAAAATAGTAGTTTTAAGCAATAACGTCAAAGTATAACAAAAATGAAAGAGTTTGTGACTTTAACGTAATAAATAACTGAAACGTTATTATATTAT